GTTCTTGTGGAGGCGGCTTCGGAGGAGGCGGGGCGGAGGCTGGGTCCGGAGAGCGGCGAGTCCCGGACTTGGGGCCAACGGCATTGACCCGATGCGGTGATGTAGAGGACGGGGGGGCGGTGGGAGTCGAAGATGGAGCCGCCTTCAGGGTTTCTACCGGTACTCGTAATAGCGGTGCAGCAGACACGCCAATAACGTCGCCCGGCTCCAATTCGGCACAACCTGCAAGGGGAATACGCTGAAGACCATTGGAAACAAATGCATCGGGGGACGAAAGTGCACCCACTTCAGGTCGGAACGATACGAGATATTCGCCGATCAGCGCAGGCATGCCCGAAGAACGGACGAGGTCCACCTCAACAAGGGCCGGCTCCGGCCCCAAGGAAATGCCCGAGCTCCCTGCATATTTGAGGTGAAACGAAGAGGCAGGAGCGTCGTCGTGCGTAGCGTAAACACACGCGCCAGCGGTGAAACGTGGAGAGAGCGTGAGCTCGCCCATAACCCGGCCGTCCGGTCCAGGGTGGGGGAGGGTGGTGAACACTCGAGAGTTGAACCGCATCCAGCTATCGCGACCCAGAAGCACGGCGTGCCCCATGGCGGCATCTGGAACAACGCAGGCCCAGACCGCCAACGAAGCGGTAGCTCGAGCTCCATGAAGAAAATTAACGGTGAGACGAACTGACCGAGTGGTCACAAGGGCGGGTCCATCACCAAACCCACCCCAACGACGAGAGGGCGAAACACGAACGCTGCCAGCTGTCAAGGCTCCAGCAGCTATCATGGCGGTGACCACGGAGTCAGACACAAAAGACGCAGGAGATCCAGAGTCCAGCAGCGCCATTCGCGCCAGTTGAGAAGTGGCTGTAGGTCCTCCATGCAGCAGAACCCGGGTGGTGTAAGAGTCCGAGTCCAACAGGAGCGTGCCGCCGACCAGATCGGGCCCGTGTTCCAGAAGAGGAGGTTGGTCTGCACAAGCGGAGGTCGAGGCCACCAGATGAACACCAGGAGCATGGTCCCCCGGAGCGTCCAAATGGAGACAGGCTGGGTCTTCACCCCGGTCCTCCCGTGACGACGAACCGGCCGCGGTAGCAACCTCGTGGATGCGTCTACGGCCATGTGGAGAAGGCTGCGAAATGGGAGGTGCGGGAGAAGTGGAGGCGGGGAGAGCTTCGCCAGACAGGGGATGATCACGCAAAAGGCGCCGAACTTCCATCAAAGCTTTTCCCAACAAGTTTTTACCGCTAGACGCCCACTTGGATGAAACGCTAGCCTCCGGAAAGCATGCAGACATGCCGATACCCCAAACACGATCGAAGGGGCTAGCTTCCGCAAGGAGGCGGGTACCCGTCTCCAGTAGATGTTGTTTCATGTCGCGGTTTTGAGCGAATTTGGCATACGACCCCGTAAGCACGATCTCTTCTCGACGATGCTCCCATTCAGCATAGTCAAAAGGACGGACGTTACGACCCAAGTACTTGTGTGTCTTAGGATCTGGTGCAGCCATGATTTTGTCATACGACGTCATATCCCCAAACAACTTCGCTTTTTCAGACATCATAAATTGCTCACCACATGAATAACGTACCCCCAGTACGTCAAAAGCCGAGGGAGTCCATTGCGAGAACACAGACGGAGGTTTCCAGAAGAGGAGGACGTCATCCGAAGCGTACTCGCATTTGTCATCAAACGGCGGAGCCGGTGCAGGGCGCAGCGGCAAAGAGCGGGCACCAGGCACGGGCGGGGGTGGGTCAAGCGGACGGGTCCTCATCTCCGACGGGGAGGACCCAGAAAGCGAGGGAGGAGCGGGCGAAGTCGCTCCGGTCCATGATCCGGAGGGCGGCCTACGGGCGGCGGCTCCGGCGAGGTCAATGTTAGCAGAGGCCATTCGGCTATTAGAGACCTGTTCGTTAAGAGAAGTCTTTCCTGCGGCAGACGGATATGTGTGAATGGACGCAGGGCGCTCTGGACTACTCCCCCGTGACAAAGGAGCCGAACCTTCCACAGAACGGTGGGCACTACCATCCGATCCCGATGGCAGTGGTGCAGTCAGCACGTTGTGGGCAGCAGAGGAAGACGCATTCGTATCAGGTGCTGCCACACGGGGGCAGCGGACGGTCGAAGACAACGAAAGCTGCGAAAGAGAAGGAGAATCGACGGGGTCCCTGACGAGTGTAGAAGAAGGCTCGTGTGCTATCATCCGAGAAGAGGCCCGGCTGACAATACCAGGAGAGTCTTGGCGAACAGTAGTAGACGAGGTTCTTGTTCCTTCTGTAACCCGAGACGGCGAGGTGAGCAGGGGTGAACCACTCGACGTCTTACCTCCCTGTCGCCCACACCACAAAGGTTGTGCCGGAGTGGGTTTGTCATGTCCAATACCAGCAGACGATGAGGTGGGTGACGAGGAGGCGGGCCGAGAAACTAGACGTGATTTGGGGGCGTGGGGAGTATCCAAAGAAGTAGGCTGTACACGAACATCCTGAGAGACTCCAAAAGGGTGCACGGTGGTTGCTAGTGACGGTAGTACCGGCTGAACTCCGCCATCGGCATGTCATTTCTTACCCTTCCAGCCCCTCTTAGCCGAAGTGGAAGTCTCCGATGAGGATTCTGTGTGCGAGGACTGTTTCATGTCCGATGTGTCAGATGAACGGCGGGCGCGTCCCGAGGAGTGAGCACGGGGTGGGTTGCGTCCGGTAGGTCGTCTATACGAGGTCATGCGCTTTTTCCACCGACTCCAAAGTGTGGGATCTTTTTCCATGCAGAGCTTGATATCATTGTTAAGCAGGCCTGTGGCGTTAATGAACCCACGAGTACAAGATTTGAAGGAGTGGTCTTCCCCTAAGCAGTTGAGGCACTTGCCCTTGTACAGCCGAAGCGCGTTGCGGCGGTCTTCAGCCGAGACCAAGGGGGTGAACAATGGCGGATCATTCTTGGTTAGAGCCATCTCACTAGCGACGTTGTATACCTCTGGAAAGTGTCCTTGCAGCGGCCAGTCGCTGTAGTGCAACAGAAAAGGGTCTCGATCATCATAAGGTAGAGGGTCAACACTCATCACCGCAGCCGAAGAACCTGGACTCCACGAAGGGGTCACCGACGACCGCAACGCCGAAGAAGCTACAGCACGCGAAACAGCAGACGAACTCCGAGCATTCGTGGAAGACACCGAAAAAAAATCGTCACCATGTACCGCCGGCGTGTGCGCGAATGCCCGCTTGTCCAACACATCCCACATATCGTCCAAACACGAAGCATGTCGCCCAAAAGGGGCTTCCATGGAGAGCTGCTCATCCTTGTACACCTGTCCAGACACTACGGGAAACTGCTTCAACATGGAGTCTCGAACAGCTATCTGCACTTGTGCATCCGAAGGCTTGAACGCGTGATGAGAAACCATGACAGTCATGGCCAGAGCCTTATAGCGACGAATGTATTCTCCGTACGTCTCGCCGGTGGACACGCCAAAACTACGAAGGCGATCGATCCCCGAGCTCTTGTCTTGAGTGTCCCAGGCGGCCGCCAATTTCTGGATAAAGAACGCGTACGTCGAGGGCCCGGCCGGTTCCTTGCGCAGATGGTTTTCTACCTGTTGGAAAGTGGCATCAAGAAATTCCAGCGTGGCACGGTTGGTGGTTTGACCTTCAACGACAGCAGCACGAACACGTTTGCGCAACAACGGAAGCCATCCTGCGACCCAGGTGGAGGAAGCGAAAGTCTGCTTGCGTTTGACGTCGCTTTTGTTGAGGATCTCGGTGACCACGCCCTTGCAGCTAGACGCGAAACGAGCAAATTCATCAGGATCAGAACCAAGGGGCAAGCGTGTGACACTATCAAGTTGGTCCGGCTTCAGCTTGTCCATCTTGTCTTGAATGCGGATGGTGTCGGCCTCCGCTGCAGCGGCGTCCGCAGCGTCCAAAGCCTCCTGCCTCGTCCTCGCCCCCGTGGAAGACAAAGGCAAGCTAGCATCATCCTGAGGCAACGGCGATGTCGCGTTGGCCGGTGACGCCATGACGTGGCCGGTCGCCGGGCGAGGATCGATCAGGATAGACGTACGCGGGAGGGGGGGGGGCACCACCAAAGGCTGTTGTAGCAGAGCTGGGGCGGTCGACGCTGATGACACCACCAAAGGCTGTTGCGGCAGAGCTGGAGCGGTCGACGCTGATGACACCACCAAAGGCTGTTGCGGCAGAGCTGGGGCGGTCGACGCTGATGACACCACCAAAGGCTGTTGCGGCAGAGCTGGGGCGGCCGGCGCTGATGACGATGACACTGCCAGGACCACAATGGATTCGAAACCCATTGTGATTTCACGCGCAGGTTCATATCCTGCCGCTGACGCCAAGTTTAAAGGAGGGGAAGCCGTGGGTGGTAGCTTGCTCCTAGAGATAGATGAAGGTAGGTTCTGTCGTTGACACGCTTGTCCACGATCACGTAGAGATGAGAAAGTTGCTTGTTGTTGCTGAGAGACGATCAGCAAGGGTCTGAGGTGAAGTGGGGATCCAACTTCACCTCAGGGGGGTACGCAGACTAGACAAAATCCTAAGAGGGTAGGTGTCTGAAGGGTATACCTCCTGAGACCGACCCACATCCTATCAACAATAAGATGTACCCTATTTAAGCTAGCAGCCACACTCCTTAACAGCAGCCAAAAGTGTGTTCATTCGAAAGCTCTCGTTCATAGCTTTCACATGATATATAGTTTGCTGTGTGAATCGTCTGCATAGTGGAGATATTAACCAATTGTGCCTGGGCTGGGGGCCGGAAAAATACCACTGCTGTACACGTCCACGACATCGTAAAAGACGACTTGCGTCGGAAAGTTGACAAGCAAGAGTTTGTCCGCCTGGAAGGAGATGCTCTTGCTAATGCAGACAACGCTGCACGGCACGCTTAGGCTGAAGTCCAGGACATGACAGCCGCCGAAACGCTCACGCGGAGGGATCTAGAGCAGTACGGGGCGGATCCCACAACTGGTGGAGACGCTGAAAAACACGAAGATCCTTGACATGCTGCATTTCAAGGATGCTGCCAGGGGTGATGCATCAGGGCTCGCCGGGATGGTGAAGGACATCTGGAAAACGTTCAGCAAACACCATCTAAAAGTGGCTAATCACTACGTGAAGAACCTACAGGCGGCGTTTCGAGTGGCACGGCTCCCGTGCTTGGAGTCTTTGGTGTTCACGCTCACATACGGAGGACTCCCGTTGGGGCTCGATCTCCCCGAACGTGACCTGTACGAGAACCACTTGCAGTTCAAGGATGTCTCGGGGTTCGGTGTGGCTACGAGGGCGGTGCTGGCCAAGGCAAAGAGAGAAGGCGATTTCTACGGCTTTTTGAACTACGCCCCCGTCATTAAGCTACTCTCCGTCACCCGACCCGTCGAGATGGGTCGAGTCCAGCCCACCAGCGAGCACTCAAATACTGTCGCCAAATGCCGGAAGTCCTTTCGGGAGATGAGGGCTGTTTTCGCCTACTCCGGGTCGACCACCCGGGAAAAGGACATGGGGGCCGCGTGGACGGTGCACGAAGCCTACTGCCTCCACTACGCTTCGAGCATAAAGGTCGCGGCCACCCGTCTTGAAAATGCGCAGAAGAAGATGGGCGGTGGCGTAAAGAAATCCAACGGGAGGATACCAGACATGACAGCGAAGGAGTGGAATAAATGCGTCACCATCATGGATACGGTGGTGAGGCGCAGCTCATGCGATGCCATAATGGAGGATGTTGGAGCAGAGGGGATCAAGATGTGCCAAGAAGTTCTCCTGGTGGACCCAGACACCATCGGCCACACCGTCGACGAGGCCCTCTTCATGCCTGGGGTACGCGAGAAAGAGATCAGGAGCATAGTGAAGCGTCTCAAGGGCAAGTTTGGCGCTGCTGAGGTGAGATTTCAAAGGGATTGGACTGAGTTCAAGTAACTTGTCTCGAAGACTTGAACATTAAATCAGCACTATTTACAACGGGATGGGTTTTTCTCTCGTGTTTGTTTTTGCTCAGATCGCTCTCTTCAGCTGGCATGGCTCTCCTGGACGGGATTCACAACATCTGCCTTCGGTCACAATATCTGCTCATGATGGTGGCACGCGAAGGCTACAGGAAACTACAGCTAAACGCTCACGGTGAGTACGTGGTGCTGACGGAGGTACTTCTTCCCCTGGAAAACAAGAGCACCAGGTCCACAGACAAAACCGTTGACGGCACCTGTATCACCCACTTCAAGGGACCCGATACGGAAAAGGTTTGCGGTGATGCTTGTCATCCTTCACCCGCTGATGCGGAAGCTACTCCCGCAAGGAAAGCAGCTGTGCGCCGAGGTTGGCCCCTTCACCGCAAGCGGCGAGGTGTTCACCGACACCCAGTTGCAGCATCTCTTCGAGCACATCGGGTGGAACTTGATCGGGATCCCGAAGTGGGGGTACAATATCAACCGCTCCCTCATCATCACGGACGCTTGTATTGTGGCTTTTCAACAAGGCAAATACGCCAAATGTCCCATGATGGATGCTGTACGCTACGGGGCTCGCATGAGCGAGGATCAGATGCTGGGAAACTACAACCAAGCAAGCTACGGAGTGTTGAATGCGACCCCGTCTTCTGATGCATACAAGTGTGGATCGTTGGCCAGAGTTAGTCGGCTTAGGATGGAACACGCGAACACGCGAAGAGGTCTTTGTCATTTCATACTGCATCCGTGTTGTGCTCGTGGCCATGCTATGAGGTAACAAACAACTAGTATGAATCCAATAAATATTCAGTGGTGGTAACACAACATATGGTCTGCAAACGTATTCCTGAAGGTGAAACTCAGCCTCAGGGTCACCTCTTTGAGAATCCTAAATAGAGAAACCGACCACCGACGACCTGACCGCGGAGGACCCAGTGGCCGAACGCGTGAAGACACAATCGAAGACGCGAACAAGCGAACACGTAGGACGCGAACACGCGAACACGCGAACAAGCGAAAAAACCAACACGCGAACACACGAACACGTGAAGACACAAGCGAACACGCGAATACGCGAACACGTAAGACGCGAACAAGCCAACAAGCGAACAAGCCAACACGTGAACATACGAACACGTGAAGACACAAGCGAACACGCGAACAAGCCAACCCGCAAACACGCAAGCACGTGAAGACACAAGCGAAGACGCGGACAAGCGAACAAGTCTACACGCGAACACGAGAACCCGCGAACACGCTAACACACAAACACGCGAACACGTAAGACGCGAACACGCGAACAAGCGAACAAGCCAATACGCGAAGACACAAGCAAAGAGGCGAACAAGGGAACACGCGAACATGTAAGACGCGAACACGCGAAGAGGTCTTTGTCTGTCATTTCATACCGGATCCGTGTTGTGCTCGTGGACATGTCTTGAGATATCAAACAACTATGGTTTGAATCCAAGAAATATATGGTGGTGGTAACACAGGATATGGTCTAAAAACGTATTCCTGAAGCTGAAACTCACCCTCAGGGTCACATATCTGACAATCCAAAAACAAAGAGAAACCGAGCACCGACGACCTGACATCCGTAGACCCGGTGGCCGAACACATGAACACGAGAACACGTGAACACGAAAACACGCGAACACGCGAAGAGGTCTTTGTCATTTTCTACCGGATCCGTGTTGTGCTCGTGGCCATGTTACGAGGTATCAAACAACTGTGGTTTGAATGCAATAAATATTCAGTGGTGGTCACACAACAAATGGTCTGGAAACGTAATCCTGAAGCTGAAACTCAGCCTCAGAGTCAATCTTCGGGGATCCTAAATAGAGAAACCGAGCACCGACGACCTGACCGCCGAGGACCCGGTGGCCGAACACGTGAAGACACAAGAGAAGACGCGAACACGTAAGACGCGAAGACGCGAACAAGCGAACAAGCCAACACGCGAATACACGAACAAGTGAAGACACAAGCGAACCCGCGAACACGCTAACAACACGCGAACACGTAAACCGCGAACAAGCGAACAAGCCAACACGCGAACACGTAAGACGCGGAGACGCGAACAAGCGAACAAGCCAATACACGAACACTCGAACACGTCAAGACACAAGCGAACACGCGAATTAGCGAACACGCGAACAAACGAACACGCGAACACGGGAACACGAGGAGAACACGCGAACGCGAAAGACGCAAACACGCGAACAAGCGAACAAGCCAATACGCGAACCACTACCACGTGAAGACACAAGCGAACACGCGATCAACCGAACACGCGAACACGAGAACACGCGAACACGCAAGACGCGGAGACGCGAACAAGCGACCAAGCCAATACGCGAACCACTACCACGTGAAAACACAAGCGAAGACGCGAACAAGCGAAGACGCGATCAAGCGAACCCGCGAACGCGCGAACACGTAAGACGCAAGCGCGCGAAGAGGTCTTTGTCATTTCATACCGGCTCCGTGTTGTGCTCGTGGCCATGCTATGAGGCAACAAACAACTTGGTTTGAATCCAATAAATATTTATGGTCTGCAAACGAAATCCTGAAGCTGAAACTCAGCCTCAGGGCCACATCTTTGAGAATCCTAAAAAGAGAAACCGACCACCGACGATCTGACCGCCATGGACCCGGTGGCCGAACGCATGAAGACACAATCGAAGACGCGAACAAGCAAACACGTAACACGCGAACACGCGAAAAACCCAACACGCGAACACACGAACACGTGAAGACACAAGCGAACACGCTAACACGCTAACACGCTAACACGCGAATACGCGAACACGTTAGACGCGAACAAGCGAACAAGCGAACAAGCCAACACGTGAACATACGGCCACGTGAAGACACAAACGAACACGCGAACAAGCGAATAAGCCAACTGTGCTCGTGGCCATGCTATGAGGTAACAAACAACTATGGTTTAAATCCAATCAATACTCAGTGGTGGTAACACAAGAAATGGTCTAAAAACGTATTCCTGAAGGTGAAACTCACCCTCAGGGTCACATCTCTGACATTCCAAAAAAGAGAAACCGAGCACCGACGACCTGACCGCCGTGGACCCGGTGGCCGAACACATGAACACGAGAGCAAACACGCGAACACGCGAACAAGCGAACACGCGAACACGCGAAGAGGTCTTTGTCATTTCATACCGGCTCCGTGTTGGGGCCGTGGCCATGCCACGAGGTAACAAACAACTGTGGTTTGAATCCAAGAAATATTCAGTGGTGGTCACACAACAAATGGTCTGGAAACGTAATCCTGAAGCTGAAACTCAGCCTCAGGGTCAATCTTCGGGGATCCTAAATAGAGAAACTGACCACCGACGACCTGACCGCCGAGGACCCGGTGGCCGAACACGTGAAGACACAAGCGCAGACGCGAACACGCGAACACGTAAGACGCGAAGATGCGAACAAGCGAACAAGCCAACACGCGAACACACGAACAAGCGAACAAGCCAACACGGGAACGCACGAACACGTGAAGACACAAGCGACCCCGCGAACCCGCAAACACGCGAACACGCGAACAAGCGAACAAGCCAACACGCGAACACACGAACAAGTGAAGACACAAGCGAACCCGCGAACACGCTAACACGCAAACACGCGAACACGAAAACACGCGAACACGCGAACAAGCGAACACGCGAACACGCGAACACACGAACACGTGAAGACAAAAGCGACCCCGCGAACACGCTAACACGCTTACACGCAATCACGTAAGACGCGAACACACGAACAAGCGAACAAGCCAATACGCGAACACACGAACACGTGAAGACACAAGCGAAGACGCGAACAATGAAGACGCGAACAAGCGAACACGCGAACACGAAAACACGCGAACACGCATACACGCGAAGACGTCTTTGTCATTCCATACCGGATTCGGGTTGTGCTCGTGGCCATGCTATGAGGTAACAAACAACTATGGTTTTAATCCAATAAATATTCAGTGGTGGTCACACAAGATATGGTCTAAAACCGTATTCCTGAAGATGAAACTCAGCCTCAGGGTCAGTCTTCGGGAATCCTAAAGAGAGAATCCGAGCACCGACGACCTGACCACCGAGGACCCGATGGCCGAACACGTGAAGACACAAGCGAACCCGCGAACCCGCGAACACACGAACACGCGAACAAGCGAACAAGCCAATACGCGAACCCGTGAACACTTGAAGACACGAGCGAACCCGCGACCTTTTTTGGGTTTACTTCGTTTTTTATGTTTCAATCGTATTTCGATTATATCAAGAACCCCCAGAACCATGGGTTTGTGAAGGCCCTGGGTGAGAGCGCAGTGAGGGATGGAGCGGTTGCCGGGGTGGCTTTGGAAAGGCAAGAGTTGATTAAGTTTGTGACCTTTGCTTACTTTAAAAAGTACCAGGCGTTGTTTTTATATCCACCCGGCCACCAGGTAGAGTCTATTGTTGATCCAAAGAAACGAGACGGGAAAGTTGATGAAACCAAGGCGTAGGTTGCTGCCATCCACGTACGCACATCCGAAGCGGCTTACGGCCAAGGGAAACCTAGAGAGGCTGCCCCTAACTACGATGTTCTTCACCTCAGTGTGCTTCGGATGGAATGGCTGGTGGAGTATTGGCTGTCGATTGTACCGGCTAGTAGTGCTGCAGGCTCGGAACCCTCTGAAAACTACCCCATTCGAGTTCCCGAGTGGCACAAGAAAGGGTACTTGAAGGACTCAGACGTAGACGGAGGTTGTAAGATGCTGTTGCGCAGAGAGCCCAAGGTAACTATCTGGCCGGGGTGGGTCGAGACGGTGAAGTGTAAATGCGGAAATAAGCCGGGAATTGGTCTATGTGCGAAGTGCATTTGCGTAAAGAAAGGTTCAATTTGCTCAGAGCTGTGCAAATGTAGACGGGCTTGCTGCATAGAAGAGACCAGTGATAGTGCCATGCTAGTCGATAGAGATGGGGGTGAATCATCACAAGGAGAGAGCGACGACGACCAATCGGGTGATGAATGTGACGTTGTGCCGGGTGTGGGCGGTTTGGACGGGGGCGTGAGTATTGGTGGATTTCGCGAGGATGATATTGCAGAGTACGAGCAGCGCGACCAGATGGATTGGACCAGTCTGGGAGAGCGGTTGGTTGTATCGCCGGGGGAACCGGTTGCTGCCTCATGGGGGCAAGGGACAAATGAAATATCTGTCTAGCGTGTGATGCAAAAAGAAAAAAACAGTGGAATTTTGGTGTTCCGAGCCGGAACATCTTGTTGGTGTCGAACGTGCTGCAAATGTTCTACATCGATGCGTTTCAACTCGAGGATGAGTATGCGCCACCTCACGTGGTGCACCCACCCGCCAACGTCAACAGCGGATACATGACCAGCCCGCACTCTACCTTGCATCGTATGATTCAGCACCCGAAGAGTCCGAACCCAACAAC